TTAAAACAGTTTTTCATGTGTAAATTTTTTTTTTGTCGTGTATTAGCCCGGTTTGAAATTTTGTAGCCCGGTCTTGGATCCAATCCTGGATCTGCTCCTGATGATATTATTGTGTATCTAGAGATTAAAGAAAGTTCCCCAATATTTTGACCAAGTTTTGTATTTATAAACGTCCAAAAATCAAGGCAAATGAGCGAAGAATTCAATTTAATTAAAATTCTGCTACAATTTGGAATTTCACGTGAGGTGCCCTTTTTCCCACGGCGTGGGCACCATATATTGATTCGCGTGCTCGCAATTTAACCAAACAGTTCTCTGTTAATCCAAAATGCGCCAGCCATTCTCTTTTTCTATTTTTGTTTTCTTTTAGCTTTTGCAATTCAGTCTCCAGCTTTAATAATTATTCATCTTGAGTCTTTTTTTACGCGCATCTTAACCCCTCAGCTTCCAATTGCTTTCACTAAAATTTATGAATTTTTCAATCATCGATATTAAGAGCCTGTTTGAGCCCCATTGGAGAAATTCTCCGTTGTTGACAAAGAATTGAAAAAAATTACCCTCCGTTTACTCGTTGTGAGCTCTCTCTATCTCCCCGTGCATCCTTGGGTGAGGGGAAAATCTCCTTGAAATACTGTTTGGTTAAGGATGAATGATTGTTCCCATCACCATTTTCACCACTTCCTTGGGAACTCGTTGTTCCCGACTATTTAAAACTATTGTTCCTTTCACTTTATTATGAGCTGCTGACATGGTCACCACATTGGAAGAGCTACTCCGCCAACTGTCGAATGAAGCAGCATTCCAAGATCCTCTAGAGGACATCGTTCAAGCAGGGCAGAACTCGAGTTTTCCTCCCGTACCACTTTCAAAGGATTTTCCAAAGCTTTAAGAATGTATCTTATTAGAGATTGCCTCGTAGACTTGGGATTATGGCAAGACCTAGCAACGATTGCCATTGCCCACACTTCCTCGAGAAGATCCTCGTCTATGATTAATGACATATGCTTCCACCCACTCCTCTGTGGTGGCATCAATTGGCGAACGAATACCCAGCTTGCTCGTAACAAGCTCAAGTAATACATTTCCGAAGGAATAAACATCATAAGCCATGTTGCATTAGGCACTCTTGGGCATTTTTAAAAATGGAAAAAAAAAAAAAAAATGGTGTACAAGCTGCAAGTAGTGATCTGAGTCAAAGTTAAAAGAACTTTCAGCTATATGATCTTTAGCCAATCCAGAAAATCATAATAAATAAACGAACAAAACTATAAATAATCTATTTATTTCCTTCTTATAATTCCCCCAAGAACTTTTAATGTCAAATGGCCAGAAGCTGTGCATGCTGATACTTATTTTTCTATTCCAGAAATAAGTCATTTGGCTCAAAATATCAACTATCATATAGTGTCGTTTGACGTAGGATAATATTTGTTTCAAACATGATAATTTGTAATGATGATATACATTGGCATTTAAGGTAAAGAAAAAAGTACATCTGATTTGAACAAATCACTCCAAGGTTTGACAAACATTAACAACTCCATATAAAAGGTGCATAACTAGAACCATTATATGTGATAACTCTTAACAAGAAAGACTGATTTTAAGACTAAGCACAAAAGGATATATTTGAACATTAATGGAGGGCTAGACCGAAGTGTTCCAACACCCCTCGCTAAACTTACACTTTGCACCTTCCTTTGCGACAAACTGCACCCAGTCAAAGCATTCTTTTTTTTAATACTAAGGGAATTTTCAGGAGAGTTTCGGTGAGTGATGCTCAACATATATTAGATACAACTTGTTTGGATAAGTCTAAAAAAAGTTTGGATTACTTACTTTTTCTTATAAACAAACGTTACTTAGTTTGAAAATAACTCTTACTTCATGTCAAAATATTTTCGATTTTAACCAACAAAAAAAATCATTTTAAAACTTATAAGAATTAATTTAAGCTTAGCCATATATGTACTTGAATGACAGAGCTTAAATATTTAACAAAAAGAAGAAAGAGGAGTCAACTGAAAAGCCTCTTCTTGAGATTTCCACAATTCATAATGGAATTGAGTTTGTAGGGATTTATCAATAAATATCAGAACAAAGAATAAATTACGCATGAAGGGGGGAAAAAAAAAAGGGAATAATGTTTAACGTAAGCTTGACCAGACGAGCGTCACAAGGGTGATTAGCGATAAAACCGAGTTATTAAATTATAAATTGCATATTACAATAATACCTTTTCTTCATTTTGATTTAAAATGCCTCTTTTTAGTTATTTTAAATAATAAATACATGTATAAGTATTATGCCTCTTTTACAAAAAATATTATTCCCTCCGTTCCATAAAAAATAGTCTTGTTTTCCTTTTTTGTCTATCCCAAATTATGGTCCTGTTTTTTATTTGAGAGTGTAGTTAATATATTAGTTTACACGTCTTAATCATCTAGCAATATAAATGCAAATGCCTGTCGCAATTTATTATAAATTCTGGCAAATGTGGGTGTGAGGATGACTGGATGATGGTGACATGGTGGTGGTGGTGGAGGCGCCGTTAGTGGGTGTGCGATGGGTGTGCGATGGGTGGTCTGTGGTGATGTGTAGTGGTGGTGTGCGATGGGTGGTTGGTGTGCAGTGTGGTGGTGATGGATCTAGTGCGGTGGTGTGGCGATAAGGTGGCGGTTAGGTGCTGGTGGTTGTGAAGTTGGCTGCGGGTGGTGGTGGTTGGTGGTATTTTGTGTGGCGACTATTCCGTGGTTGTAACTGTGGTGGCGAATCTGGCGGGATCTGGTGATTTTTGGTGGTGGTTTTGGAAATGGCGGTGTTACTACTAATTGACGTGGCTAGTGGCAGTGATGACTCATGAGGTGGTGATCACGGGGGTGGTCACAGCTGTCGGTGATGGTCAGGGGGTGGTCACGGGAGTGGTCACAGAAGTCGGTGATGGTCACGAGGGGTGGTCACAGAATTCGGTGGTGTTGACCTTAAAATTGTGACTAAAAATTAATCTGTGACGGGGGTGGTCACAGAAATTGGTGGTGGTCACGTGGGTGGTCACAAAAAAATCTAACTGTGACATTAAAATTGTGACTAAAAATTAATCTGTGACCAATAAATTTGAAAATATGTGACTCATAGATAACTGTGACCTGTAATTTTTTTATCTGTGGCCAATAAAATAATATGTGACCTGATTTGTGATCTCGAAATAATCCGTGATCTACAAAATTTTTGATCTATGACCAATAAAAAAATCGTGACCTATAAATTTTTTGATTTGTGACCTCAAAAATAATCTGTGACCAATTAATTATGTATATGTGACCATTAATTGTATAATTGTAACATCATTATATTTAATTGATAATATAAATAATTGTCGGAATCGAAAAGTCACCGGAACAGTTCGCCGGACAGTCGCCGGAAAGTTCCCCGGAACGGTAGGGGTGGTGAAGGTGGGATGGGTTAATTATATTATATTATAATTAAATATTTAGTAATAAATTAATTTAATAATTTATTATTTTACAAATAAAAATTTAAAAAAAANATTTAAAAATAAATTGATTTAATAATTTATTATTTCATAAATAGAAATTTAAAATTTTTTAATAGAAGTCTGATTTTGGAAATTTCAAACTTGTTTTCTTATTTTTGAAATAGACTAAACTTATTCTCTTGAATGTGAAATTTTCCCTTTCAATATTTTGGTTAGTTTAGTGTAAATGGCCTTATTTTCTTTAAACGAGCTTTAATTTTAGCAACTAGTATGTGATATATGCAATATTTATTGAGAAACATGCTGCGGGCTCGTATATTACTTTTAGAATTAAAAAATGCAAATAGTTAAAACCATCAACAAAGGATAGAAAATTGACCATCATGAAGATTGACACGCAACTTGTTATTCAGTACAAAGGAATCCTTCCTAATTCACTAATTACTGACAAGGTACTGTTTGTAAACCCATTAAAACTAGTTCCTCGATCCCTTTTCCTCATTGAAGTTGCAGATTTGGCCGTTAATAGAGCAAATTCCCTTTTTGGAACTCAGCATTTCTTCCGGTCCTTCACTCCCTTATCTCCTTTAAAGGATTTTCCAGAGCCTTAAGTACATATCGAATAACTGGCCGCCTTGAAGGGTTCGGATTGAGGCAAGATTTAGCAACAATAGCCACCGCCCAAACTTCCTCCAACAGATCCTCATCTGTGATTAATGATGGATCCACAATGCTTATTATCGGTCCTTCATCATATATATTGATCTGAAGGAGTGTGCTTTGCTACCAGTCAAGATTCCCAGTTTGCCTGTTACTAGCTCAAGCAAAACCTTCCCAAAGCAATAAACATCGTATGGAATTGAAATAAATTCTTAAAAATCGGTCGTCTAATTGTAAGCTTTAGATCTTCCCGTAGATCTAGAGATGAGCTAAAAGAAGCAACCAGTCAAGCAACCTAGAAGACTTCAGCAAGAACAGAGCTTGATTAAGTTAATAAGAAACATTGAAATAAAAGGATGAAAAAAACCCAACACATTGCTATTTTTAACAGATCACGATTCTTCCAAAGTTCCCCAGAAGATTTATCCAGATTGACCGTGCTTGATTAAGTTTTCATCGCTGAAATCCCCAGTCGCCTGGATAATCTGCTCGTAAATAAACGAAATTCCCATATTCTCAAAATTAAAGACAATTCGTTCATACGAAAACTCCCAGAGAAGTTTGAGTTCATGGAGCTGGACATCGAGTCTTCACAAGCGGCATGCCTGAGCTCTTCTCTCTTCAGCGTCGCTTCGACTAGTCTCTGCCAGTTATCGAACGCTCTTGTCATCTTCCGATTTCCAGGTAATCAGCTTCCTTCAACTCCTACGAAACTCTACATAATATTCTGAAGGATAAATCTACTTGTACATCAAAAGATGTACATCAAGGTATCCACTCCTCACACATGGGGGTGAGATGCACTTGTATAAAATATTTTTTTTATTTAAGTGGGTCCCACCCCCATGTGAGGGGGGTGGACACCGTGATATATATCATGATGTGCCGGTAGTAAAACCGTATTTTGAATGATCAAATTCAAAAACTGGGCTTGGATTATGGATAGTCAACGCGGAATCAGAATGTTCTATTCAACAAACAGATTTGAAAAAAGGGGATGTGAGTTTAGAGAGATAATCTGATTATAAATATATTATTTTATCCCTCACCTAAGTTGTCCATTTGTGTCAAAATTATTATTTCAGCATTGAATAACGGAATTTTGGACGAAATTTGTTATATGGACTCCAACTGTCATTAAAGTGAAAGGTTTGGGATTGCGGTCACAAAAATGAAAGGTTAGGGTCTAATCTACAGCAAAATGAGAGGTTTGGGATCGACACTGTAATTTTCCCTTATTTTTATAACCCACATGAAAAAAGGAAATATAAGAAAGGAATAATTTCATCTATGGTCCTCAATCTATTGTCTCAGTAGAGTTTTGATTCTAAACATTTAAAATAGAGGTTGTTATCAAAGTGAAATGTTTGGGATTGTGGTCACAAAAATGAAAGGTTAGGGTGTAATCTGCAGCTTGTTGGTATGAGTAGTACCTATCAAATCTTTTTAAACTTTTCTGGTCTGGGTAATACAATCACCCCCCGTTAGACTCGCGACGTCCTCGTCGTGCTTGATATCCATTGCCAAGCGTTGGGATTCTAGAGGTGGCTTCTACGAGTTTAAGAGGTGGCTCCCGCCCATGACGTAGCACTTTGTCCCGCATAGCACTTAGTTCCCGATTTTCGGCTGGCAATGGGCTCTGATACCATTTGTAACGACCCGGGTCCCACTTAATGGGCTGTCTCGATCGTTAGATCGACGACGTACTGTCCACTCTGGGTGGGCTTCTGCCCACTTATCCCCTCACGACTTTCGACGAGTCCCCCATGATTCAAACCCAAAACCTCCATCATATGGGAGACTTAAGTTGAATCCTGGTACCAATTGAGCAACTTGCCTATTTGTACCAGGATTCAACTTAAGTCTCCCATACGATAGAGATCTTGGGTTCGAATCATGGGGGACTCGTCGAAAGCCGTGAGGGGA